GGCCTCCAATTGTGTCCACTTGAGACCGATTTTGAAAGTATACCATACATTTATGATGATCATGTATACAGTCGCGGACGATCACATGGGCGATACCGAAATCGCACAGGTACTCTTAAAAATATATTTTGCCATGAATTTATTACATAGGTGTTATTAATACATCATTATCACATTGAAGAATTTGTGTGAAGAATATTCTGAGAGGCATCTTCTTTTGAAAATTTTAATACTATTTTTATTGAATGTAATTATTTTTTCTTAAACTTGTAATTGTTTGCGCTATTATGATTTTATTTGCGTGTATGTTAAGTATATTATTATGAAATAATGAATATTATGTTACTATTGATTACAGGTAATAGCATTTATATGCGGAGTAATAGTGATATTGTTGATGATAATGGGTTTGGCTTCCACTGATTGGTTGATGGCGTTAGGATGGAGACAGGGTTTATTTGCACATTGCATTGAAGAGGATGCACCTACACCATTGCCGTTTAATATACCAGATCCAGCTGGATGTTACCAATCTAGAGATGTTGGTATGATATTTTCAATACAACTACAAGTCCAGGAAAACACTAGAAATAACATTGGAATATTTTAAGAAATGTCAGATAGAAATAGTAAGAAATATCTACAATTATTCCAATGTAATGAAAAGTATTAATGTGCTATTAGTATTTTGTATTTCTTTATAAGTCTTTGTTGTATAGTTCTTAACTATCTTTTATCTTCCTTTGCAGCCTACATAAAAGCTGCTGCTGCCTTATATGTAGTCTGTCTATTAACAGACATTGCTGCAACGATTCTCACTGGACTTGGTTTAAGGTCACAAGATAATCGTGATAAACATAAATATTACAGATTCGCAGTCTTCTGTATGGGCTTTGCATGTAAGTGTCACTTGCAACTTGATAAACGCATTTCTTTTTATAATTCATAATTGTAATTTTTTGTTTCAGTGGTATCACTCTTGATAGCTTTGGTGATATATCCAGTGTGTTTTGCTGCAGAACTGAATCTTGGTAAGTGAACATATCACGATATTAGAAAATGGATATTTACTTTTACATACTGAAATAATATTATGTGAATTTATAGGGAACCGAACAATGTGGGAGTTCGGTTGGGCATATGGAGTTGGATGGGGTGCAGCTATATTCTTGTTTGGCGGAGCTGTGTTGTTATTATGCGATAAGGAAAGCGAGGAGATTTATTACAAAGAAAGAAAAATCGTGCGTGACGATATTGGCGGCGGTGGTTCTATGATTGGTATGGGTCATCATGGTGGACAAAGTGGGACGCAATTGGCCTAGTGGCATTGTTCCCTGCCCGACGTTGTTCTCTAGGTGATTAATTTCTTCTTTTTCTGTCCTCACAATTTTTGATACATTCATGAAGAGACGTACACACACACATCAAAGAGTGAATGGTTTTTATATGTAGTCTACTTGTTACACCAGCATATATTGGACTTGATCATTACTTCGATATAGGATGTACAATAACATCCGATCAAGTCCGTCAATCGGATGTTTGACGACTAAAGTATTTGCGACTTGACTGAGATTTTAATTAAGTTCACTCATTTGTTACCAATTTCCAATTTCTCATATCGACAATTTCGGGACCATTGCTGTTTTTAGTTTACTATAATATGTTTTACGTGTATTATACAAGTATTTTTTTAGAGTACGTTTACATTATTTTTTAAAATCACTGATCAATTTTTGATACCATCACCAATGGTAGCATACACACTGATTTTTTTTTTATCTAAAGAATCAATCGATGACGAAGCCGCGTTTACTATTACTATCTAATTCCGGACATAATGGCAACTAACTTTTTTAATCCAAACTTTTCAATTTGCTAATATTTCTAACTTTCACTGTGCCTGCATTGACAGATCACTATCGTCTTTGGATAGCTTTAAAAAAATGATTTCGCTGTTTGAAAACGGCGTTTACGATATATGGGTACTTAAACAAATTCGATGTTTCATTATTCTTGAAAATATAAACAAAAATAATCACAGTAAGCAGTCGAGAAAACGTGCAAGGAATTAATAAGTTTATAAGAAAAGACACTGCCTTTTATTAGTCAAGTAATAAATCATGGATTCTTATTTTTGTTTTTGGATAAAATATTCAACTTTGATTTAGTTATTATTTATTGTATGTTAGTATATTTTCTATATGTAGTATGTACATATATACACATATACATATATCTATATATATATATTAGATGTTAGTAATTTATTGTTCGCTTTCATTTACTAATTTTTTTTCCTACTATTATTGAAAGTGATATTTGCTTTAATCGAGTGATTTACATTCTTGTAGTGTTTACCAATATGTTTGGTATAACATTATGATATAACATTAACATAATGTTTAAAACTTATACTTCCATATATTCTGCAATGAATCTGGGCCAAAAATTGCTCTAAGTGTTGTATCTTGTAATGACGTATGCACACAGAAGTATATAAGTGGATGAAAATTTAAGTAAAACCAATCTTCAGTGTCGATTAATGAAAGCATTTAAAAAAAATCACATGCTTGGGCACACTTCGTCGATTAGTACAAATAAGATTCTTTTTACTGATTATTAATATATTTTTGAAGGAAAAATAATTTTTTTGAATCAGTGTAAAGAATCATAATGTTGCGCGTCTATTGTGGTATAATTACGAATTAATGATTAAGTCATTAATTGTTTAGTTTCGCTTGCTTTATTATTTTCATATTTGTTATACATCATCCTACAGTCTTCCTTTTTGTACTAAATACGAACGTTTGTTTATTCTATTATGAAATATGTAAATGCTACCTCCAAGAAATAATTGATTTCTCAAGTATAATTATTTTCAAGTTACAAATGCATGAATTTAAAACAGTGCATGAGAAAAAGCAAAGGGAAACATTTTCCTGTAATTCTTCCAGACTGATGAAACATGATTTGAACCAGTTTTCCAGGAGATTAACTTTAGTTGTCTCTCTTAAAGACTTTACAATATAAGATTAAGATTATTAAATCATCATTTGCGTAAATCGTTTGTTTCATCAATTTCTACAGTAATTTTCTTCCCAGTCAGTATAAATGACCGAAATTCCAAAGAGCATTTAACGAAACTTCGAAAAAATAAATATTCTGCTGATAAACTATACACACGGCTGATACGGATTTTCATAATGGTCTGTAAATGTTGTCAGTACTTTCAGAGTATTTTCGTTTTGCAGAAGCAAAAAGAGTACGTGTCATATCGACAGTAATTTTACCAAATTATTAACACTAAAAAAAAAGAAACATGTATGCAATGTGAGAGCTGACATATGTACGCGTTATGAAGTTTCCAATGGCATTTTCAGTATCACAACTCACAGAAATGGGGATATTGAAAGTTCCTTGAATCTAACTGGACAAAGATGTAACTTCTAGTAGTGTTATACATTTCGTAGTGACTCTTGTTCACCTGATCATTCCTTTTCCCTACATTTTTGTTTGAATCATTGAAATCAAACAAAGGTTTATTATTTCTATCCATTGTCTGTAGGGAGAAGTTTAACTTCCCTAAAAAACCAAGTACATTTTAAGTTGAACACAGCACTAAATATTTAAGTGTGCGATGGAATAGAGGCAGCTCGGGCAGGTATTATCTATTATGTTATCTGCATTACATACGTGTACGTATATGTATATATAGATATTTTATAAACACATGTAATAGAATGATACAGTGGCAGCTACTGCGATACTCTAAAGGAAAGGGAAGTTTTGATGGGAACGAAATTCATACATGCACTTCGTATAACGCGGCAGATCAATCATGCTTTCTGAGAGGGGGAAAAAAAAGAACTTAATAAGATTAAGAATTACAGTGCGTTTGATTCTTTGCCGTACACTGTCGATTTGCGCCTTTCGATTTTGATATGTGCTATTAATGACATAGAGTACTACGTAAGACTAAGTGTAACCGAGTACTGAAATGTGTTGAAAGCAGAATAAGTGAATCGTTGACACATTAATTAAGAAATTTATGATATACAGAAGAGTATTATATGTCTACAAAGAGGGGATTTAAGTGATTGCAAATTGAGTACAATAGTAATTGCATTCTACTTATCACCAATAGTACTTGTTCAGAAGACTACATGAGGCTGGAATTAGAATTTTGAGTATGTTAAATGATAGTTTGAATCTACAGATTGCTCGTGCAATGAAATCAGCATATAGAATTTCAATGTCACGGGCATAAAATGTCCAACTCGCAACCACCATAAATTAGAATTGCAGTGTAGATAACAATCCATCGTTTTCTACTGTATTATCACAGAATAATATACAAATGATTTAGACAAATATAAAATTATTCTGTAATTAAGTAATTATAGGCATAATATAAAATTAATAGAGCACCATTTCAGAGTAAAAAGATATCACGGTTATTTGTTATGTGTATACATTCTCAAACAAAAAGTAGATTCTCTGTCGTGTACATAAAGAAAATAATTGTTTTGATGAAATGATTGAAGAAATTGAGTAAAATCCATATAACATCAGAAATATATTTTATTCCAGTCTTTCTTAAATTATATTATAGAATTGGTATTACTAGTGTAATTAATTAACGCAGCGAATCTTAGAAAACACGATGGAGAAACTGTTCTTTCCAGAGAATTGTTTTTATGATGGTTACTTCCTAATTTGTACATTCTAATAAGACATATCCAGGAAGATTTCTAGAAAACAGTTACTGATTATTTACCACGCAAACGTTTGCAAACTAGAAAGTCTATTGTACGTAATACATTCACGTACAGCACACAAGATAGATAAATATAATTTAGTCGATATTTACCAACGTTTCATATTGTATACAATATGTTTGAGTTACCTGACAATTGAATATTTCGTGAAGGATTAAACATATGGAAAAATTGCTTTTTATACAAAAGTTGTTCTCAAAAAATTAAACTGTTACTACCATGAGAACCAAAAACTTCTGGAAAAAGTTTTTTCATGTCTTTAATCCTTCATCAAATGGTCAGTTCTCAAATAATTGAGACATACTGTATAATACATATCGTACTTATCCATGCATATCGTAGTAGATGTCCCAAAAAAATATAGAAGAAACTGTAAATTCGTTTTCCTTGTCAGAAATGTTGCAAAACGATATTAAGTAAAATTGTATGACAAAAATTATTTATGCGCCATATTACAATGTAAACATATCTTAATATTGTACAAAGAATAAAATATACACCTGAAAACTATAATGTTGAGTGTTGATATTTAACGAAACCTCCGTTGTTTAAATAATAAAATATACAGAAGAAATTATATAAATTCCAACGGAACATCACCAATCATTTACAAAATGTGTTTACTTGGTATAAATTTAAACGAAGAGGGATCACCATTAATATCTTCATGTACAGGAACAAATGGAAGAAATAAAGGGAGTTAACATTTCTTTTTAAATAATTATTAATATTCAGCAATGTAGAGCGATACAAAGAGTGAAAAAGTAACGTATTGAAGAGGGCCTGCGAACGCTAAACATAACAAAATTTTTTCAGACTCATATATAAACAATGACAACGCTACGACGACGATTTTAAGTAATAAATACATGTGTGTGCACGTGTGCTCAAATGGTGTGTGCGTGTACGTACATGTAACAAAGTATTGCTGAATAATTATTCCGCGTGTGTATTCCTATCGTCCATATAAATACAAAATAAGATTACATATGTATATAAATCTAACAGAAAGAGAAAAAAAAAGGGTAGTGTACAAAATAGAAATCTATTTCCAGAATTAATTACTGTATAAAAATCAATTTCCTTCAGAAAAATATATATATGTACACGCAGACTTTCATTCGTCCTTGCCGATCGCGGAAAACTTAACAAGCACATTTGTGACAAAACTACGATATACTTCTCTCACTGGGTAACTGATATAAATTTTCTTTTCTTTCATATCCT